CTTATTGGGGGAACTTAAAAGCTCACAATCCCGCCAGGGGTGGCACAAGGGCCTGCTTGAGAATCAATATACTTGAAAATATTGACAAACAGAACATAATTCTTCTGAATACTGGCGAAAACACACATTTTCCGTGGCTTCATTATCGTCCGTCGATCTGGGTCTCTGTAGTCTATCTCTCTCTACCATCTATAAGTGAGACTGTCCTTGGCGACCTACGTGTCCGTCACTACTTCCCTATTCTGGGCAATTTCGATATTCCCGACCTAATCGCTGCCCCTTGTTGGTTAATACACCGAGCTGAGTGGGAAACATTTGAGAAAAAAATGCGGATATTGGAAACCCGCGCAATCGATATAGATACTATGTACAAGCTAGAAAACTTCCTTAACCGGAATATTTCTTCGGCCCGTGCAGGTAAATGACTTTTTATGCAGCATAAAACGGAATCTGTTTAACGCGGAAACGGACTGGTTTTTCATGTCCTGCGGGAGGGGGTCTTCATAAAACCGAATTTCTGTGAATTTAATGCAGTTCGGAGAGAGACGCGAAATACTCTTAATGCATCTACAATTCCATTTTAATATCTCTGTCCATGGGATGTCAGTTGTAGTCGTGGCAGAACAGTGAATGAAAGGATATTCAGTTGTTAGCATAGTATTCGACCCTGGGATCATTTGTCTCTCAAGGCGAAGTCGTAGAGGAATTCTCTCGCTCCCAGCACTCGTCGCGTTGGTAAGCTGAAGAGACCTGGCTTCACGCATTTCTTGGCCCGCGTTGACACTCGCAACCTCTTGACTAGAAACGCATTCGTCATGGCCATGCGAGGGTATCAGAATGGCCTCTGAGCTGTAACGCATTGTGCGCTGAAAGAGACATCCGAGTGCAGCCACTAGCCAGTGAGGTGGTATATTTACACGACCAATTTGGAAAAGGTTGTAAAAATCATGAAACTCTAAATATTATATTTGTTGAACTTAAAAAAAGTGTTTTAGTAAGACAGAAAAGCAAAAACTACAGATTGTTGGAAAAAATAACATTTTAGTGAATAAGTTGTGAAGTTATTACTTTTAATTGTAAGAAATTATTATGTTTAATATTCATTTATTGATGATTTCTTCTAAATAATAAGTTGTATGTTAATATAAAAGTATCTGGAAACGAGGCTGAAAATGATTTACCAGTTCGTGACGCCCTCTATCGGTAATGCTGAAATACAATAGGGTATTCGCCCACCCTTAGCCTTGACAGTTGCCACTGTCGCAGGCATACTTTAAATCTAGTGCTGGAAGGTTTCCTGGCAAATGGCAGCCCATTTTTTCACGGAGTGCTGCACTGAGGAGAGTTATCGGGTAGGTCGGTGAGGGCTGTCACGAAGTCTGCGTTCCAAAACATCCCAAAGGTATTCCATAGGATTCCAGTCAGGACTGCAGGCCAGTCCATTACAGGGATGTTATTGACGTGTGACCACTCCGCCACCGGCCGTTCACTATGAACAGGTCCTCGATCGTGTTGAAAGATGAAATCGCCATCCCCGTATTGCTCTTGAACATAAGGTTTTGATAACATCAACGTATGCCTGTGCCGTGATAGTGCCATACAAAACAAGCCCCCTCCATGGAAAACACGACCACAGCATAATACCATTTTGGACGTGTCCGGATACTTTTAATCACATAGTGCAACAAGTGTCCTAAATAGACAACTCTGTATAAAAAAAGAAACCTCCCTAAACCGGAATAATTTTTGTCCCAATTGATTCCGGTGTAGGCAGATTTTACTGTATTAGAAAAACACAAACGTAGTCAACAGCAAATAACTTCTATTTCGCGCCCATGGAGATGAGTTTGGAACAACGGGCTAGAATAAACTACATAGAGTGGCTGAAGCGCCTCCATCTTTGCAGCAAATTGAACCCTTTTTTCAATCAAAGCAGCGCACATAGGAGAAAGAGTATTCTCGTAGAGAGAGTTCCGTTTGGCGCCGGGTGAGTGCGGGCCGCGCGTAATATAAATTCTCACTACCAAAACCAATTCTTTAAAAACTAAATCATAATACAGGATAACGAATTGAGAAACATTAAAAACACATTATTTCCTGCATAGGTTATTGTTATAATAGAAGCTGTGGAAATGTTATTGTAGTTAGCATAAGTGAATGTTATTGCAATAAGAAGCAAACAAACGGATCACAATAAGGCGGCAAATGTGAAAAATAAATTTGTGGTTTGATGAGATCTATTTTTAGTTACACGCTAAGGGCATTGTGAACACTATTATTGTAACCTCTAATATAATTTAAATACTGATAAACGTAAGAACATCAAGAAGGTTCCGTATTGTCATTACGGAGTTATGCTTATTAAGAAAAAATCTAGCAGCACCTTCAAACTGTAAATTGAAGACAGCCAAGTGGACAAGAGAACCATTCAGCACCATTACTTGTTTGGTTGTGTCGTCTTACTACTGTGTGCTCTCATTGCGATTTGTTTCTTGCTCGACAACAAATCGATAATGTTAATCCCGCGAAGACAGGCGACGATAGGGAAGATTTGTTTCCTGAAGGCAGACTATAGATGGTCTATGGTAAGAAATTATCAATCTTAATTCATTTGAATGAGCACGAGCCGTTTAGACTCCACGAGAGAGCCATTGTAGAGAATTACTTCATAGACTTTTCTTTCTCTCCTTCTGAAAAGATGTAGAGAAACTCCCGTGGTGAGTCATCATGACTGGTGCTGGAGATGGTTGTCTGCGTTGGGGAATTTTTGTTTGTTTGTTTGTTTGTTTTTTGCTACAGTCGACCGAGATCTACATGGGCTGGAGGATCGTTCAATGCGAGTCTCGGAAGTAGGAGGTCAGGACTTCGGTAAAGAAGTTTTGATATCTGACTTGAATCTGTTTCCTTAAGGAACTCAGTGGAAGTGATGTGTCTGGTGGAGTTTTTGCCTTGTTTTTTTTTTTTATTTTTTTAACTTTGTTGGTATTACCACCTTTCCACCTTGGATGCACGCCGTATAATTAGGGAAGTCCATAGGCGAAACCTGACAACTGAAGTGCGCTACTAGAGCAGGATATAACTGTTTGACAACTTGCTATTACCCCTGAGGACTTGATCTTTAAAGTACTGGAGAAGGATCGTGGTATGTCTACTGCATTTCTAGCCAGGTGCCGGCGTTTGGCCTCATGGAAGGAAACCATTTCGGTGACTTGTCTTCTGAATCCCTCTTTCCCGGAGAAAAGTAGGACACTGGTTGGCTGGGTCACCTTCACAATTGACACAGTGCGGTGGTGTAGCGCTGGGATGTGGCTTGAGCACTGATGCACCGCCCTTCCCGCACACTGGGCCTACCGATATACGTCGCTGCTGGGTATGCCCAAACCTTTGACACTTAAAACAGCGCAAAGGATTTGGTACATACTGTCGCACATGGAGGTTGTAGAAACCACAATTGATCCTTTCCGAAAGAGACGGACGGACGATCAAAGGGACGATCAGGGTTGAAGTAGGAATCACTTTCCCCTGCTCATTTCTTTTAATTCTATAAACTTCAGTTACAACTTGTCTCTTGGAAAATAAAATTAATATATTTCCTGAAGCAAAGTCGTCGTGGTTTACGTCGCCTTTGCACAGGTTCAAGGTTGGGTGCGTCGTAACTATCACTTGAAGGCCGGCGATCTGCTTTGTTTTTAGTAGTTTCCCTATTTGCTCGTCGGTACGTGCTTCAAAGAGAACAGCAGTTACAGAAAACACACTGCTTATGGATCGTGCACAATATCAATTAAATTGGCTTCAGAAGCATATGCAAAGGCAATAAAAAATATTTATTCTGTAAACGCTATGCAATGTTCTCCAGTGCTATAACATGCCTCTCTCTAAGTTTTAATTTTTGTTCATAATGCTTTTTTATTTCTAATTCTCCTTTTGACACTTCAAAAAGATCAGCTGTTGAATTAGCAGATCTCTCTAGCCGCTTTCCAGCCACTGGGCATTTCTGATGCAGAACTTGTGTATGAAGGTCCACGAGGATCTATACTCAATACAGTAATAAGATGCCTGACTAACACTCTTTAATAAAATTAAATCGCCCTCCTTAATAACAGCTACATCGTGCTCTTCAATTATTTCAAAATCATTTAAAGAAAAAAATCAGTGTTTGATACTGATAAGTAATTTCATCGCTTCCTTCTGAAATAACGTATGTGAGTAAAACACACGACAAGAAATTCATTGGAGCAAACTAGACTTCAATCCGAGTTCCAGTTTCGTAAATATGCGTAAAACAAAATTGAGCCCAAAGGGAGAAATTTGGTGAAAAATTTGGAAAAAAATTAATTTCATCGCTTCCTTCTGAAATCACGTATGTTAGTAGAAATCTCTTAAAATATATTATGCTTGAAATCAAGTCAACATGAGTCAAGCATAGTACATGGAAAACATTTTGCAAGATGGAAATTTTGGGAAAAATGTTTCATAGTTTGCAGCATATTTTGATTAGGTCCATCTTTGGCAAGCGTAGAACAATGATTCATGCAGGCTTCTGCTATTTCTGTCACAACATCAAAAATGTCAATAATGACTCTGTAATCTATAGAACACAAGGCCAGTTAATTTCAGAATAGAAATACCATGAAAAATAAATTTAGATTCATGAATATCCATGTAGTCATTCAAAACCTTTCATATTATTTTATTTAGTAAAAACACAACTAAATAAATGTTTATGTAATATGAACTTAAATTGGAATAATTTAAGAATTAAAAATTAGTAGTAAACCTGTCAGTAGTAAATAGTAGTCAGACAGCATTTTCCGAAAGTAAAATAGTACATAGAAGTCAGTCAGTATTTTCATTCTAACTCAATGAACTGTTATTCATCAATATTACACTGAAGCATGTGCTAATATGCAATTCCACTGTAAACCTATAAATGACAACATACAAATAAATCCTTACCTGACAACCTTGACAATGCAAATCCTTTGCATGTATCAACAAACGTGCTTGTCCCTCCAAACCACAAAACGCTTGAAGAATTTAGGTATCAATGCACAGCTGAAGGCTAAAAAATCATTGCAATTTAGGTAATCGTATTTAAATAAGTATTCATACACTTACAGAGAGCTAATTTATGTACTAATGGAAATAAGTATTACCAATTCAAGAATTTTTAAAGTAAACTAACCACATCTGAGTTTTTCCTGATCGTGGAGCACCACTAAATTCAGTAATTCTTGGTAAAGGAACTCCACCATCCATATATTCATCCAATGGTCAACAAAAAGTTTTTATGCACCCAAGATCACATTCATCTTGAAGAAAGAATTTCTAAATTAACTTTTTAAGTATCTGATTAATTCTATTTATAATATCTGAATTATATGTTCTTTATTAACTATTTGTAAAATTCATGTGACACATTTATTTAATTAATCGATAACTTCATTAAATACTGAATATTGTACTGAAAGCAGAGAACTAGGGATACTAAACCCAAGGTAATTTTCTCAGTCTATAAAAGGTTCTAAAAAGTCAAGTCTAAAAAGCTAGTACTTCACCAGCCCACTTCTCTCTCTATCAGTCATATCAGTCTATTTATTCACATGGCAGGAACAGCCACGTCGGGAAATCGCTTTATGCTGACATTGTGTACACAAGTTAATTTCAGACCCAGAAAGTAAATCAAAATTGAAAATTATCAAAAATTACTTGCCCTATCAATTGTGTCTTTAAAGAAGACTTGTATAATTAAACTACAGCTTATAAAGAAAACTTTAAAAGTGAATGAAATTTTATTTCACTGAAGTTGTGCAACATCTCTACAGGAGGGATGAAAAAAATGAAGTGGAGCAGTAACATAATGAAAGGAGTGCCGGCCCATATACAAAACTTTTATCTGGGCTCACTTTATAAAAATGTATTGTAAAACCAAGTAGTGTCAGTACCTTACATAACAAAAATATCCCCTAAAAAGAGGCCCCTATTTACCTGGGCCTACCCGCATTACAGGCACAAATGTTAAGCCACTAAAATGGATCGATAATTGAACACAGCATTCAGTTTTAATTGTAATATATTTTATTTTCCTAACATTTTGTGAAATTATCTTTGACTTCATCAAATAAACTGTTACAAAACAGAGAAATTGATACAATTTTGCTACTGAGGATAGTTGACAACAATATAACTAAAGACAGGATTCCCGTGTTACTGCATCTTTTATTTGCTAACTTGAAATTGGATGAAACCTTGACAGAAATTTAAAACATGAAGAGGATGTTATTTTAGTATGCATTTTATTTTGCATGAAATAGAAAGTTTGGGGGGCTACTGCACGTTTTAGGTAATGCTGGCTGAATATTGCACATTTTGGGATTTTACTGGACAAATTTGCAAGATTCATAGTTTTATTGCATAAAATATAATTTTTATGTCATCAACTTGTTTTAACTTATCTTTTTTAAAGGTTTCATTTAAGAATCAAGGTTTTATGACCTGACATAACACAGCAGTGCATTTGGGTGGTCTGTGAAACCTAAGTGCCATTTAATATGTATCAATTCTGCATTGTATTGCTTTATGAACTGAGCATCTATACCTTTCAAGATGCGTATTGTCTAATTAAAATTTCTGAGTTATTGCAAAAGGGATAGGTCCGCGGTCCTTGCTTGCGGCGAACGTTATGTTTGAGGTCTATCTTCCAAATTGGATCATATATTCATTTTGTCAGTCTTCGCTGAACGCAAAACAGCATGCACGAGACACATTTGACCTTACATCAGGGCGCGAAACATAGCAACAAGCTGAACGGTGTACCAAATTCATTGAATTTCTCAGAACAGACGTTGCCCTAGGAGGTTCAAGAGAGATTGAACACAGCTCTTGACTGCTTTTAGCAGTAGTAACAGACATCAGAGTGAGGCTCAGCACACAGATAAGTATAAATTAAATGAAAACAAAGTTTTTTCCTGTTTGCAACATAATATATTAGTTGACAGACTATATAATAATTTCTCCGAAAATAATTTGGAAATATACATAATTGTAAATTATAATGAAAATAATTAAGAACATGACTTCTGTAACTTAATATTTTTTTTTTCTTTCTGAAGATATATTTGCATGTTTCAATTGGAATATTTACTTTTTTGTGTATTATACTAATTTAATTTTGTGAGCGAATAATATTTTAAACGTGAAATATAGTTTGTTACAACAATATGTACAAACTTTATTATAATGACATTGAAATTATAATATTTCATCAACTTAAATATCCTATTCAAAATACAAAAATAAGTTGATAAGTGGATGAACTGGATTTTTTAGGCTACATAACATCGTTTTGCAAAGTCTTGATGTTTTTATTCCATGTTTTTGCACGTTTTGATGTTTTTACTGCATGTTTTAGGAAATGTTACTACATGAAAATCCAAAAGAACTGATGGATACCTACAACTGAACATGGCAGTACTTGATGTTAAAACATGGAGGAAACTATCAATAACTGTATATTAAATTTAAGAAAATCGATAATATAGTTCAGCATGGTCAACCACATTTCCAACGTAAAATTATTAACAAAAACACAAGACATAATTGTAGAGAAATAATGTGAAAATGTAGTTTTTAACACCTTGGGGTTAAACAGTATGGAATTAATATTTTATATTATACACAAATTGTAATTAATACTTTACTAAATTTCTCAGGTATCCAAAATCTATGTTCAAAACATGTAAATTCTTTAAATCATCACTTGAGGAAAATTTATTTAATAGTAACACATTGTTGTCTGTTATTCACTCAAGTAAAATTGCATCAATTTCCGTTTTGTATTAATCTTTCCAAAGAGGTCAAATATGATTTGACAGAACATCAGAAAAATAAAATACACAACGATTACATCTGCATGCTGCATTCACTACTTTATCTACTTGGTCTTTTTCATCTTTCTTGTTTATTCATTTTAAATCAATCAGAAACCACATGAACTCTGCCTTGTAGTTCATTCTTTCATAAACAAATTCCAACAAGAACAACTACGTCATACAACCATAAAATGGAAAATTTTGAATGTATAAAAAAATGAAGGATGTGGAAGCTAATTATATTTTCAATTCCTCATCAAAAGGTATTGAGACATAAAAATCAATTATTACCTGCATGTGGGAAAAAGCATCTTTTGTTGCTGGAGTGGCAAGTAATTCTTTCCAATAAGTACAGGGCTCATCACTTCATAGTCGCAACACTTCTTCTGGAGTGAGAACCAAAACTGCAAACAAATTAGTTCTAAATTGGGAGCGTAGTAAGTAACACAAGCCAAAATTAACGAGTACGCACTAAATTCCTTGCCGTTTCTAACAGTACAAACATCGTCGCAATACATAAATCCCATTTCTTTATGATTTGAGGAAAGCAATCCTATCAATAGCATGGTGCAAAGAGGGCGAAACATTCTTTGCTTCTTAAAAAATTCAGAACTTACATTTTATGCTTAATAAGCTTATCAAAACAGACTTAGTAATCATTTCATCACTACGCATTACAACCATCTCTTGCCACTTCTTTGTCTTCCTTAATTTCAGTTCAGTGTCTATAATTAACTGCAATTCGCTAAGCACCTTTTTCTTTCACGTACGTTTAATGATCACATTACAATAATGACTATATTTTAGGTCAGATATCCTCACACCAACCTCCTCCTATGGTTTTTCGCGCGCATTTGCTTGCTCTCTCAGCATATTGTATAGTTTACTAGGGCTTTCAAAACGTGGCGCGCCAGGGGCCGTCATAACGATGGAACATCTTACGGTATTTCGGTCTTTCTAGGTCAAGCCGCTAGATGTCTCTTGATCAACACCATGTCAAGCAGTGCGATTTGTCTAGCGGCATCTAGCGACACGATCAAAAAAGAAACGCAGTACCGTGAGGTATTCTATTATGAAGAGAGCTCCTAACGCGCCACATTACAAAAATCAAGTTAGTATAGTATAATATCATGTATCTCAAGTATAG